AGGCAGGTGGACCACGAGATCAGGAGATTGAGACTATCTTGGCTAACATGGTGAAGCCCCGCCTCTACTAAAAATACAAAATATTAGCCAAGTGTGGTGGCACCTGCCTATAGTCCCAGCTACTCGGGAGGCTGAGGCAGGAGAATTGCTTGAACCTGGGAGATAGAGGTTACAGTGAGCTGATATCACACCATTGCACTCCAGCCTGGGTGACAGAGCAAGAGTCCATCTCAGGGAAAAAAAAAAAAAAAACTCCACTAAAGTAGATAGTTAGATAGTGTTGATGGAGAGATATGCTAGTTTTTAAAGGCCCACTCCCAGCCCCAATGGAACCTCCTATACTTAGAGGAAGTGTTTGATAGGGTGAAATGTTGGAGGAGAGCCGGTGGAGCAGCCCAACTCCAAGGGAAAACTATCTCCCTTCTAGCTCCATCTGCAGAGAGCTCCCTCCACTCAATAAAACTTTGCATTCATCAAGCCCACATGTGTTCCAATTCTTCCGGTACACCAAGGCAAGAACCCAGGATACAGAAATCCTTCTGTTCTTGAGGCAAGGGAGAGGTTCTAACTGAGTTGGTTAATACAAGCCGCCTATAGGCGGCAAACTAAGAGAACACCCTGCAACACATGCCCACTGGGCTTCATCGGTAAACATTCACCCTTAGACATTGCCTGGGGTCGAAGCCCCATAGCCTCCCGGTCTGTGTGCTTCCCTACAGGTTTGAGCAGCCGGGCACTGAAGAAGCAAGCCACACCCCTATTGCATGCTTTGCAAGAGGGGACAAGGAAACGTTTCCTGTTTCACATGGATGTTTATTTAGGTTAGATTTTAGAAATTCCAAGTGACTTCTATATGCTGGGTACTGTTCTAAGTGTTTTTACACATCAATCTGCACACTAGTACTACTGTGAATAATGCTATAATTGTTCCTACTTTACAGAGGAAGAAGCTGGGGGTTGGTAATTTGCACAAGTTCATGTAACTAATACAAGTGAGATTTGAACCGGCAAGTATGACCCCAGGGTGCACACTTGTAACTATTTATTATAACCCAATAGGCTAAAAGGGAACATCTTTTAAGCAAAATAATTACTATACTTCCTTGTGCAAGACAAGGTATGAAACAGCAAATACAGAAATTAGACACGGGCCCTTTAGCCTTCTCAGCTGAACCTTATTAGCCTAAACTAAGAAATCCAAGGGTCAAAGAGTTGGGACAGAGTTCAGCAGAAGGGGAGGAAGAAGAGTTTTCCTGTTTTTCCAGGGTGAAACCTTTACAAAACATAACTTCATTTTTAGTATTCAGTATTACAAATTACGAGAAGAGCTTTAAAAAGAATAATAATGTAAATCCAAAGTTAGTAAAAAAATTCAGGGTAAAATAGTTGATCTGTTTGGGCTTTCTGTATTCCTGTTCCCATTCATTCTAACAAATTTTTAACTGTTTAGCCAAATGTGTACATTTCTGTGTGATAACAAGTTATTTACATGTTATGGCTACTTGTGGTTGTCTGTTTCTTCATAAAAGGGCATTTTATAACTCTTTCTGCAAATATGCTCATCTAAGAACATGATGCCAAACATTTGTTTTAAGGAAAGACTCTATCTAAAAATTAGTCATATAAAACCAGTCTTTACTTTTACTTTGAAAGGAAAGTTTATTAATTCCCAATATTGTTTACATTTTCATTTTGAAATATCATTCCTGACACAAATAGATACATTATATCTTTGAAAGCAGAAAGATCTTAATTAAAACAGTTTACATTTACCTTAGCAATAAGTCTGGCTGGCTAATTTTAAGGGATTAAAAATTGCACCTATTTGGGCCAACTCGGGTCCTGAATAATTATCAGGGTAAAAGTATAATATTTCAAACTTTATACATTTTGCTTTATCACACATTTACTTTCCACACAAAGTTCAACTTCACATTTAATAAGCAAATTAGTCTTTAATTCCTTAATGAATATACTAGTCTTGATTTGATTGAACTTTCAAATGAAAATAAAACAGGAGTTTTCAATAACTGCTTAGCCCAAGAAATGTTGCCAATAGAAGTTTAAGCAGTTGTTTAAACAGTTTACAAAGTATTATTTCCTTTGTTCTCTTCAATACAACACAGAGACACATAAAATCACACATTACAGGCATCTGAACTGGTAAAGTGTTCCAGATTAGTGGCATGCAGGTACTTTACATTTTTAAGTGCAATGAAAAATGCTGCTTATTCATTTTCTTTCAATAGATGAAAATGAAACTAAGATAAAGGCTTAATTAAAATATAATTATTCCATGTATATAAGGGTTTTTGTTTTTAAACCAAAGTGGGAGAGGTAAGAATTTTGGGTCAGAATAACTTCTTTCTTAACTGAAGATTGTCACTGGCAACATTTGGTACTAAAATAAAAATTCCTCCAAAAGCATATTTCCTATTGATCTTATTTCACCATATGGTTGATTCCTATCTACTCACAGATTACCGAAAGTAAGTTTTAAATCCTGGGCCAGCCTCTCTCAATTGCACAGTATACTTCTGATTGGATTTTCTCTGTTTCCCAGTTAATATGTGCTCAGAAACACACACACACACACACACACACACACACACTCTCTCTCTCTCTCTCTCTCTCTCTCTCTTTAAATAAGAGCCTACAAAAAAATGCTGTGTTGACTGTGCTCAGTTTCTTTGCCTTCCCTCCTCTCCTTCCCCACTGGTTCTGAGGAGCAAGATAGTATATATTTAATTTTATTTATTATTATTATTTTTGAGATGCAGTTTCGCTCTTGTTGCCTAGGTTGGAGTGCAGTGGCATGATCTCGGCTCACTGTAACATCTACGTTCCAGGTTCAAGTGATTCTCCTGCTTCAGTCTCCCGAGTATCCAGGATTACAGGTGCCTACAATCACGCCCAGCTAATTTTTATATTTTTAGGAGACATCGGGTTTCAACATGTTGGCCAGGCTGGTCTTGAACTCCTGACCTCAGGTGATCCACCATCTTGGCCTCCCAAAGTGCTGGATTATAGGCATGAGTCACCACGCCCGGCCTAAATAGTATATATTTTAAAATATTGTTTCATAAAATGCCGCTCATCCAGAAGTATTTTAAAGACAGTAAAGAACTGGTTGTGGCATAGTCAGACCTCCTCTGAACAAAGCCTCCTGGAGAGAACGGAACTGCAGAGGAGGCATTACTCAACCATGTTCAGAGGCAATGGAAATGATTTAGAATCACAGGCTTGTCGAGTATTGGAGCGGAAGGGACTTTAGGGAACAATTAATCCACTCCATTTTACAGATGAAATGAAGTCAAGGTAGATGGAGAGTCTTGCCCAAAGTGACATACAGCTGGCATCCAAATTAGTATTGTTTCCCCAAAATATCACGCGGTGGCAAATGGAGCATAACTCTGTGGGGCTGGACGTCAGCTAAATTCAAGCAACATTTGTTCATTAAGCACCTACTATGTACAAGGCACCTTACGAGATGGTACTGAAGATACAAAGATGGATGAGACACAGTCCTGCCTCCAAGAGCTTATGAAAGTCCTTGGAGGCCATGCTTCAAAACCTTTCTTGTCAGAAATACCTCTGACCAGGGCTAAGGTTGCTGGTGATAACAAGGCAGCTGCTGCCCTGGAGAGCTGATCTCAAAACAGGTGGCGCTTTCTCCCCTTCACAATCTATCAGAACTAGTGCCTGTTACTCAGTTGCTAGGCATGAAAATTCTTGAAGCCCTAAGGACACTCTTCTCTCCCCAGCCTCCAGTCATACCCGAAGTCTTAGCCTCTCCCACAAGCAGCAGTGACAGGAGGGCAGTTGTGCCCCAGACCCTCCCCTCAATTCTTAGTCAACTGTTTGCTTTCTCCCTTGTGCCCACCCTAGGCCCTCTGCAAGGATTCTGACAATTTCCCAAGGTACTGTCAAAGTGACCCAGGAAAATGTCCTACCATGTACATCACTGTATCTAACTTGCACCGCCCATCAACCACCTCTCTCAGCGCTACGTGGGAGCTGAAATAATTGCAGTCCCCGATGACACACCTGTACCTCAATTACCCATACTCCAAAAGATGAGGAAGATGTAATTGTCAGTCAGAATAAAACTGATTCAAGAGGCAGTGGGAAACAGCGATTTGATAATAAAACTGATCTCTCACATTTGTACAGTGCTTTCCAGTATACATAGTGTGTTTATCCAAATATCTCATTATATTCTTACAATTCTGTGAGGTAGTTAGTGAAGATATTATTCCCATTTTATAGCTGAAGAACTTTAGGCTTTGAGAGACCAAGTGGCTTGCCCAAAGTTACCCAGCTAAGGAAGCATGGAGCCAAGTGTCCAGGTTTCTTGACTCCAAATCCAGTGCTCTTTCCCCTATATTGTCTATAATTGGCAGGCAATTAAATGAATTGCCCATGATCATATACCTGCTAAGTGTTGGTGATGGGATAAGGATTCAGTCTCCAAATCTGTTAGTACGATGCCCCTTCACCATACCAACCAGCTGGGCCAATGTGCTCAGAATGACTACCATGGAAGAGATCAGAGGAAAATCTAGTTAGTTACTCTTTTCTATGTCTATGTGGTCAGCTCTCTCCTTCACCCTCCCCCAAGTCAACAATGTATCCCAACCGGCAAACCTCTAAAACATGGACTGTTCCTAGAGCAGAACCCAGAGTCAGGTTACAAATATACAACTTGCAACTCGTCTTCCATTGGTCTGCTGATTATTCAATCATTGCTGTTAGAGACAATGGGAAAGAGGTAAGCTGAGCAAATCTCAGTTCTGCCATTAAACAAATGTAAACCTTTAATTTCCATCCTCCTTCCCCACCTCGGTCAGCTCTTCAACTTCTTAACTCCTGAACCACAGAGTAAAATACACTCTGATCTAGTGCTGGGGAGCAAGAAAGCAATGAATAATATCCTTGAAGTTCTTGGCGCTTTTCTCTGGCCAGTTGATTACAACAGGAGGCCCTATCGTGTGATTTTCATCCAGTAGGCTCAGTGGGATGCTTCCAAGCACTCTCACACCTTTCCTTTGTGTGCATTTCAGTACTTTAGCTTTAGGATTGGTTGAGTAGCAGAGACATTTGAGATGAAAGCAATAAGGGAAGGTAAAGGGAAGCTGCTAATGGGAAGCAGAGCTAGGACTTTTCCTCTTAGTTCTCTGCTCATTAAAATGAAAACACCTATTATTGCATGGCTAGTGGAAGAGGGGAAGGAAGCTTCAGGATCATGACTTAAAACCTGACTCCAGAAACGGTTCTAATAAATACACGTAACATAGCACAGAACCTAGTATTCTCAACTTCCCGCCCTCTGCCCATTTTTGCTAATGCTATACATACTTGAATTAAACATGGGATGCTCTTTGAAAAAAAGGCAATCAGTCTACTCCCCAACCCCAGACGCACATATACAATTACATTAGTCCAGAATTTTTATACTTCCTCTGTCTCCTTCATAGTGCCTAGGAGAGGGCTGAGTACATCACATCTGTGAACAAGGAAATATCTGCACATGTGTTTGTAAATTCCAAAGGGCTATCTTACACTTAAAGCATGCTGATGCTTAATATTGGTTTTAAGAGTTTTCAGTTTGAGCATCTGAAACGTTCTTATGGCAGCTATTCGGAGAACATTGGTTTACCTAATGCTGGTGCCCTGTCAGGGGCCATGTTTCTGTCAGAAGAGAAGCACCTGTTCTTTTGGGCTGGTGTGCCAGTCTTCCCTTACAGAAATTGGTTCGAGGAGTACAGGCACTGGGATGATTTCTAAGTTTTTAAATGAGTATGGGCTTTCATTGTAAGATGAACTGCATGCCCCTCCAGGTTGTTAATCTTCTAACCTGGGCCTGCAGTAACTTGGACAGGGATGAGGGAAGCAGGTCTGGGAGATGGCAGCTCCCTCCAATCAATTTTCCAGATGAAGCCAAATACCTCATTACAGTATTTGATGATCTTTATGTACAAAATATTTATATACAATGTGCCCTACAAAGATGGAAGAAAGGGGCTTAATCATGTCGATGAGGATGGAATGTTCAATACATTAGGCAAATGGATAGATTTGGTGCTAAAACAACTAAATGATTTCTAGGCTTCTAATATTTATTTCCTAAGAGTCATCCTTTACATAGCTATAAAATGTGGTGGTTGGTAATATAAACTACAAACTCTAGGGAGTAATTTCATATTTAACTTGGGCCTGCAGCAATTCTAAAAAGGACAAGGGAAGAGGACTGCAGAGAGAGCATCTCCCTTCAATCAATTGTCCAGATGTAGCCAAATACCTAGTTAGATATTTGACAATACACACACACACACACACACACACACACACAACACTTATTTACATTATATCCTCCAAAGATGAAAGAAACTAAGTCTTTAACCATGCTGATGAGGATGAAAGAGCTTCTAGTTATACACTATAAGCAGATGGGGAGCTGCAGTGCTGAACTAATCACATGATTTCTAGACTTCTAAAGTTAATCTCCTAAAACTCATCTACGTATGCCATGATTGATGTTGGTGATATGAGCCCACAAGTCCAGATGAATGATTTTACACTTAAAGTGGACCTGCACAACTCTAGAAGGGGGAGGGAGATAGGCCTGGGGAGAAGTTATCTCTCTTCAATCAGTTATCCAGGTAATGCGAAATATCTTGACATACTATCTGGCAAAACAAATACATAGAAAAATATTTTATATACATTATGCCCCATCACAATGGATAGCAAAGGATTAACTGTGCCCATGATCATGAAAGAGCTACCACTTCCACACTTTGGGCAGACAGGGAGATGAAGTCCTAGGCTAATTAAATGTTGAATATGGTCCTCAAATGTATGATTTTCTAAGGATTATCATCAATATGTGCATACTCATGGAAATGTCACCTTTCAAGCCATTTTAAAACACAGGTAATAATAAAACAAACTGATTAGTAATAAACATTTGATTTCATAGACTGTTGCATGCAACCCAAGTATTTTATAAGCTAAAAACAGTGGTATATTTTTGAAAATGTTCCATTATCTTACTTTAATACTATCAACAACTGCTTGTACAAAAGAAACAGCCATGATTGAATTCTGAATTTTTTTTTCTTGCTTTCTGCCAGAGTTTGCCAACAACTGCTTTAGCCCCCAGTCCACAGCACTTTGGGGCTGCAAGGAATGCTCTGTAGGGTCCAGGATTTTAAGGGTGAAGGCAAGAAAGAGAGTGAGAACAGAAAGGAAAAAGGCTTACTTGGACAGGCAGGTCAGGGACTCAGCACTTAAATAGGTTTATATCAAATCCAAAGAGGAGAAAAGACACCTAAGATAAATGTTCTTCCCTTTGGCAACATGGTAAGCAAAACATATGTGTAAAAAAAATTTATAATTTCATCCAGTGGTGTACTGATGAATGTTTATCAACAAGCAATCTCGATGGGGAGAAAGCCCTAATTTCTTACATATTGCTAACTTCTGTGGTATAAATGTTTCCACCATGGCCAATTTCAGGTCACTGTAATACCAAGAAGGTAGTGAACATGGAGTTGAGAGGAGATGTTCAGTAGCATATTATTAGGTAGTATTTCTACATACACACCTACTAGATGTAAATAATCTTAAGAGCTTAGAAAACAGTAAAATGTAAGATTTTTGAGTACAGTATTTGTTACTTTTGTTCTTAATATAATTCCTTCAATTGTAAGTGCACATCATTTAATTTTAAATACTGGCTGTACTGAACCAGTTTGCAAAATTCTTGAAAATATAACAATTGGCAAGCCTGTACAAGTTGACTCCAACAGATCTCACCTAAATGGGTGAAAAGGAAGGAAAAATCAGACTGAAAATTATAAAACAGTATTTACTACGTTTTTTAAATAGATAGGAAGATTAAGCCATAAACTAATTAAAGGTTTTTTTAGGGGTCAAATGTGTTAGAATATTCTGCTTACTGTGTCCTCAAAAATTAAAAAATTCTCAAGAAAATGAGATGTTTCAAAGGACTTCAGAGACACAGATGTGATAATTATAAGTAAATGTGCAATTTTACAAAGGCTATCTTAAACAGATTCCATGTATTTTACAAGCTAAACAGAATAATATACTAATTATTTTCCCATTCACTTGTTTTATTGCTATGAGGCAACTCAAGAATACTCAGTTACTAAACAAATTCTGGAATTTGTTTAGCAAAAAACTACAGAGAAAAGTAGAAAAAAGAACAATTAATTGGAAGGGAGGGGAGAAAGGAGGAATAGAGGGTGAGTTGCCTTGGGCAGTGTCAGAATGTCACCAATCACAACTTCAGGCACTGACAGTTATCAGAGTGGTAAGCTTGAGCCAAAGGCTGCAGTCACCTGCTTCCTTAGTTTAGCATTGCACTGTTACACAACTATATCAAAAGATAAATGCATGCTACAATGCAACCATCTCAGTTGTACTTACACAGGCTTTGTTCTTGAGATGACATCATCTGGATAAATGATAATTCACATTTTTCTCCTGATGTTTGCAAATGGCTGGATGGATCATGCCATGCGGACATAAATCTAGATAATTAACCTGAATATTCATATTTCATCCTGTGATCTTGTTACACTAAAGGCAGAGCAATAAATGTTTCTAAAATCTACCAAACAAATCCAATCATGTGCATCAGACAACCTTAAGACACAATTATTATTGTTTCATTCAGGAATGTACTGTTTTAAAAGCCTCTCTCTTACTAAAATTTAGAAAATTTCTATCACGTTTGAAAAACTTTAAAATAGCTTTGTAAATAGTTATTCTTTAAAGCCATGTTAAAGATTCAATTATGTTGAATAGTCAGTAAAAGTAAGTGTGCTAATTCATTTTGCTACATGAGTCTGGCTTGAAGCTACATTTGTGGGGTAATAAATAGGCTTCTTTGCTAATACTGTGTTAAAGTGTCGTAATGTTGTCTTGCTTTATGCAGATGACACTACTGATCTCCAATCAACAGGGCATGTGCATTTATTGATTTTTGTGGAAGAGAGGATTTGTGCTAAATTGGTCACATTTTCACACCCAGTGAAACATTGGCAATACTAACTTCTTATGTGCTCAGCAGAACACTTCTGATATATTTAGCCTAACTCAAAGCTATGCATGTAAACAGAGATAGGCCTCTATCATAATCACAGTTACAAACACATATTATACACTAAATTCCTTTCAGTGATTAAAAAAAAAGCTCATGTAAGAAAGCAAGACAACCCAATAAGAAAGTGGTTAAATTCATTTTCCACGTTGTCATTCTCTAAAAGCTGCATCAGTCCATTTCTCAAGTTGCCAGAAGTGCCCATGAGCAAATAAAACAATTGTATATATTACAAAATCCAAGATAAATAAGTAGCACTAAAAAAGAATAACAATTAAATTATTAGTTATGTGGTTAACGGAAATAAACAAACTTCGATACAATGGTCCTGATGGGGAAGAAGAAGAGTTTTTGTTTTTCAATGGCCACACAACAGTGAAACTTCACCTCTCCCTGAGGAAGTTTACCTTCGGTCTGCTTCAACTCTCTTCTTACGAACTAGGTAAGAAAGAAAGGAAAAAAAAGACAAATTGAAGAAATATTCCTTAAATTCCAGATAAACAACATTAATCACACAAAATGACAATCTCACACACTTGAGAATAAAGTTATCTAAATTTTAATACTCAACTAACCATGACAATGAATGGAAATGATAAAATAATCTAGTGTCTGGTGGAATTTACGTTTAAATACAGATATGTCTGATAGTTGAGAACTTGAGTGTTAGAACCTTCCCATTTCTATGGGGTAGAAATTCCAGAAGAAACCCATGAAACAGTGCACGCTGACATGTTTTCATGGTCATTTATCCACGGCATTTGCAACTCCATCACCAACTGGCTTTAACTAACTCTTTAGATTAACACAATCAATTTTTTAATTCTGATTATGGGTTGAAGTCTGGAAGGAGCTGCAAATAGTTCAAAGTTTCAAAAAGTCTTCTAAATAAAAACTCCTAAGTATCAACCTACAAGGAAGGTGTGATTCAGATGGCAAGCAAACTCAGAGATTAATGTTCTTTTAACCTGGTATTTAGGATCAAAGAAGGTACCTAGACTGCCTGTTTCCCAGTTCCTGCAACCCTCTTCTTCCACCTTTTACCTCCTCAACTGCAGGCTCTCCTGGTTACTGAGAAGAGGGCTACTCAAACCTTCCTGGATTTGACTAAAAGGTGCCCTGGCTGTGGCCTTGCTCTAACTCTCCACTTTAAATAGCCCAGCCTAATCCTGCCTAGGCTGTGGGAAATTCGACAAAAGCTCTTGTCCACAGTTGCTGCTACTTGGTTGTAGGCTGCCCTGTCCATTTCCTTCAGACCTCTCATTTTGTCTGTTTTTTTTTTGAGACGGAGTCTTGCTCTTTCGTCAGGCTGGTGTGCAGTGGCATCATCATTCAAGTGATTCCCCTGCCTCAGCCTCCTGAGTCGCTGGGACTATAGGCATGTGTCACCATGCCTGGCTACTTTTTTTTTTTTTATTTTAGTAGAGATGGGGTTTCACCATGGCCAGGATGGTCTCCATCTCATGACCTCATGATCCGCCCACCTTGGCCTCCCAAAGTCCTGGGATTACAGGAGTAAGCCACTGCACCCGGCCGTTTTGCCTGTTTTTGCTTTGGTCTCTATGTTGTTCTATTGTGGACCCAGTGTGCTTTTCCTAGGTGGCCTTCTGACAGCTGCCTCCACTGTTCCCCAAATCCCTATTTGCCTGTCTGCCCCTTGGCCTCACCCTGTGCTCCTCCCAGATAAGCACCGTCACATGTCCAGCCAGCCTCCTGATGCCACACACTGCACCTTGCCTGGGCCTCAGGGTCTTGGCAAAGCATGTCTGGACAAGGAATTGGATACTAACCTTTATTTGCCCCTTTGCAGTCTAAACTTTAGCTTCTATCTTGCCCACTATCTGAGTCTTCCTTGAAGCCAGCACTGTACCTGGTGGAACGCCTTGCCCAGTTTCTCTGTCCAAGATCTGGCATTCTAACCCTGAATCTCAAACTGGGGATTGAAGCCTGCTGTTGACTGACTGACCACTTGCCAATGGATGTCTGCTCCTAGATGTCCTTTTGCCAGGCTGCTCCAGGTGGCTGGGATATCCCCAGACCAAGCTTTCCCACTTCCATTCTTCTACGCTATGGTTGACCAGTACATGTCCCACCTCATCCTAACAGAAGAAATGCCAGGGATCCTCAGCAAAAAGTGGCCACAGGAGAAATTAAAGAGGGGCTAATTGAAAAGGCAACTTGTTGAGTTTAAACTTCATAATGTAGCTCCATGTTTATATGATACATAAAGTGCCAAAGTATCAGACATATCCATATTTAGAACTAAGTACGAAAGCAGTCAGAAGTCAAACATAATTGGTAATCTCAGTGTCCTTGTGCCCATTTTCTGGTGCATATAACAACAGAAGGTGATTACATGTAAGTAAAACAGAAGGAAATACACAAAATAAATCAAGCAAAAATCAAAGGTTGCCTGGAAAACAGAACAAACTTCTTTTTTTGAGAAAATGCTATAATGAAACTTAAATACTGTGAGGACCCCAAAGACTCCCATGACCATGTATTATAATAATGTGTTTTATATAAAGAAGTGAGTGACATCAGAGGCCAATGGAATGGTATCTGTGAGATGTTGCATCTGAAGTGGAGAAGTGAATGCTCATGCTCTTCTAATTGTTAGCAGCACATATTTTGGCTGAATTACCCAGGTCATTATTCTTTGTGATGGCAGCTGCCACCCTTGTTCGTGGCCCTTGCTTGGTAAACTGGTATCCAAACTTGAGGATCCTTGAATTCTCCTCCAGCATCTGGGCAATTTCCATTTCTACAGCTGTTCCCAACTGCTGCCTCTGGTTGCAGATGCAGACACGTGCACAAGATGGTCAAGAAGGAAAAGCAAACAGTTACTTGCATAGGAAAAAGATGGCTACTTGCCAGACAAAAAGGCAAAGAGGCAAAGGTCTCAAACTGAAAGGGACGGCGTCACTTGAGATGATTTCTCTTATAGTCATTTGTGTCCTGCTCCTTGTCTAGAAGCAAAATCCAACAGATAGCTGAGTTCACTGGTGTCCTATAGCTGAAAAAAACTAAGCAAATTGTTTATGAAGGTAAAAGGATAATTCCAGAATTAAAATGAAAGCAAAACTAATATTTGGTGTTTTGAATTCAACCCAGTATCTGGGGTTTATACAAAGGGTGTTTTAAAAATAATAAAACTATATTATAGCAGCCAATCCAATTACTAAATTTTTATTTTATTTTTACTTTTTGTCTTGGGAATTCTTATTTACTTATTGTGATAAAATATACATAAAATTTTTCCATTTCAAGTGTACAATTCAGTGGCATTTAGTACAATCACGGTGTTGTACAACCATTACCATTACCATTATTCATTTCCAGTACTTTTTCTTCTTTT